TTTGGAAAAAACTGAATGTTTTATCAAACAGGTATTAATGCCTTAATGCTAATATGAAGATTTTAAAATAATATATTTAAATATTTGATTTTTTTCTAGTAAGCATTTTATAGCAGAATGTTTAGAGGATTTTTTAAAAGAAAGTATCTTAAGATAATCTGATTGATTTTTTTATTATTAAATTTATTTTTTAGATGAGTGTAATATAAATTTTAACTAATTTATTTTTATTATATTTGATAAAAGTAAATAATTTAAAATTTATTCTATTCAAAATTTGAAAATGATAGTTTCCTTTTATTTATCTCTGAAAATAAATATATATATTAGAAATTCTTTTTATAAAAATCAATATGAATTATTTTTTTTGTGGAGCTAATTAATTAAGAATTTTGACTTTTAATTAAGAGATATTATATATTTGTCGGCTTTAATTTGCTATTACAAAAAATTATTTATATAAAATTTTATTAAAGATGAAAAGTTAAATTCAAAAGGTAAATTTAAATTTATAAGTAAAATGGATAAAGATGACTTGTATAAATTGTGATAAGAAAAGTCTTATATATATATAAATTTTTATAAGATATGTTCCTTATATAATTTTTGTCGCTCCTCTTCCCTCGAATCTTCCTATCCCAACCTCTGCTATATAACCCCCACATCTAAGCAGCGCAACCATTCCTCCATAAACACCAGCTCCACCTCTCCATTAATGGACAGCAGCTCTTGCATAGATGAATCTTCCGCAAGCAGCGACGCCGGCGCCGCCATACTCTCCCCTTCTCCTACCCCACCGTCACCACCGCCTCCCCTCCAACGCATGGGAAGCGGCACCAGCACGTTAACAATCGCCGAATCATCATCAGAGTCACGAAAGCTCCCATCTTCCCAGTACAAAGGGGTCGTTCCCCAACCCAACGGCCGCTGGGGCGCTCAGATCTACGAGAAGCACCAACGCGTTTGGCTCGGCACCTTCAACCTCGAACGCGAAGCCGCTTGCGCTTACGACGCCGCTGCCCAACGCTTCCGCGGCCGCGATGCAGCCACCAACTTCCCCCCTCTTTCACCCGACGCACATGAGCTCGCTTTCCTCCTTTCTCGCTCTAAAGCAGAGGTTGTTGACATGCTTCGCAAGCACACTTACCTCGACGAGCTCCACCACTCGCGGCTCCGCCTCTCGCCGCCTCCTTCATTCCTCCCCTCCGCTTCGAAGCCACCGCGCGAGCATCTCTTCGATAAATCCGTTACGCCGAGCGATGTCGGCAAGTTAAACCGTCTTGTGATTCCAAAGCAGCAAGCTGAGAAGCATTTTTCATTGCCAGGAGTCGTCGGCGGCGAAGGAGCAAAGGGCCTACTTCTAAGCTTCGAGGATGGCGTCGGGAAGGTGTGGAGGTTCAGGTACTCGTACTGGAATAGTAGTCAGAGCTACGTTTTGACTAAGGGGTGGAGCAGATTCGTGAAGGAGAAAGGGTTAAAGGCAGGGGATACCGTTGGGTTCTACCGATCAAAAGGCGGAGATGGACAGCTCTACATCGAGTGCCGGATTCGCGCCGCCGTTGATGGCGGAGTGTCGCCGGATAAAGTTTTCAGGTTGTTTGGTGTGGATATAATGAAGGCTGCGGTGGGAGCGAATGAGAATGGGAAGAGGGGTCTAGAAGCGATGGAGGCGGCGATGTCAGGTCCGGGCTCGGTGGGTTGGTTTAAGAAGCAGTGTGTGGTGGGTATGTAGTGGGTGTAAGAACAGTCGGTTTTTCAATTGTAATTAGTTAGGAAAGGAGTTGTAAGGTTTTGTATACATAATTTTTTGGTCATTTCGTTTTGTTCAATCAATAAAAATCTCGAGTCAAATTCTTAGAGCGTGGAAATAAATTATACTCTTCTCTCTATGCGGTAATCTCAACTTCGTTTTCACCATTTAAATATGATTAGGAGGGCTTATCTAAACAGTACTTTAAATATTATAATTTATTTATCTAACATATCTAAATGTAATTATCCGCACAAATATCACTCAAAACACTCAAATGATATAAAAATGTATTATTAAGAGTCCACATCACGTTGCCATATTTGAATGCCACTAAGCCTTCACCATATGTCCCTCTCTCATCTCATTTATCTCTCTCTTTCGATATATTCAGACGGTGTCAGAAACATCAACGAGCCTAACGATGATGAGATTGGATGGCTCATGGGAGAGTAATCGACCAATTCAGGTGATGAGAGTAGGTATTAATATGTCCAAGCGTGATGTGCTAGCTTGAGGAGGAACTCACTGGGCAGGAGAGATTATTACGTGCAGGGTCTGGAGATAGATAATTGTTTGGTTTTGTAACTGTGAATACTAAAAACGCAGTTATAGTTCACTACTACGCTTTTAATGTTCACCCTGCGCTTTTACTGTTCACAGTTGCAAAACCGAACGGTTCTACTTATCATGGCATCAACAAATTAGGAGTGGTGTATCGGACAATATTCATTAAGAAAGAAAACGGATTGCTGGATGATATAAATAATGAAATTTATTAGTTGAATATGTAAATTTTCTAAAAAAAAATAATAATAATGCTTCCCACATGTATAAGTTAAAAAAAATTTAACGCGTGATATATGATAGTTTAAATATAAAAGTTGTATGATGCAAAAATATTGAATTGATTTCCCATTTTTTATATGTAAAAAAATAATACAAATGTATTAAATTGTAAGTTGTGAAGAGCACTTCTCTTGTAAAACTAATTCAACAAAATCAGATTTTTTTATTTTATTTTATTATATTTAAGAATCTATTGCATGCTTTAGCTACTCACGCTTCTATCTGCCCATTGTTTTCTATCGACAGCTAAGTGGTTGAAAATTTGAAATAGATAATTAAATAATAATAAAAAGACCTTTTATATTATTTAATTAACTTAATTTGGTGATGATTAATGAATGATTAGCAATTGTTTAAGTGGTTTAAGACTGGTTTTGCTGCTGTTAATTATCTCATCAATTCTGTGCTCATCTTCAAACATGTTGCCTAACTGCTCTCGAAAGTCTAGTCAATGTATTTGCAGCGTGCACTTATTGGACTGAGATGTGCTATTTGACCGTTATATTCAAATCATTAATTAATCTGGTGGTGAATAAGATCAATAAGTTTCTTGATGAAGTTTCTCAGCAGAAAACGGGATTAATTATTCCGTGCGGACGCCGAATGTCATCCGGAAATCAATTAAAATGTGTCACGTCATCCATGCACTCGGTACATCGGCTCGATACTACTGACATAACGCATTATTGTTAGTCTCCGAACAATGTTCTACGTCCGACCTCTGCATAGAATAATTTCTCAGAAAATGTCAATGAGTTGTATATGTATTAATTTCACTTTACCATACACTCACATGACTTGCTGTGGGTAGTGATCTAGCTGCTTTCTATGACCTGTTCCAAATCCCGATGTGTTATGACTTCTTTTGAATTGAATGGCAATATATATTTTAGGAAATTTATGGGGATGGAAGATTAAAAGGAGAAAATTTGAGTTCTTTTTGCCCTAGAATTGAAATGGATGTAATTATAGAGGGATAAAGTGATGATAGTCAGAGGACGGAAGCTTGACGGTAGCTGTGGCAATAGTTGATGGCACTTATTGATGACAATCGTTGAAAAATAAAATAGAGTTCCTTAGCTCGTTTTGCCTTTGAATCTTTTAAGGCAGAAAATAAAGTCATATTTATAGCTTTTTGAGAATGACATGTTGATCAGTTGACCTTATGTAAAAAACACTCTATCAAAAGATCTCTATTGATCTCATTAATTATTGACATTTATTTAACATTTGAGTGTCTTAATAATATCATAATGTAATGATCTTTAGGTTAGTTGGACTCGTTCCGTTGAGCCGCTCAATTTGACAGTATGCATGCTAGATTTGGAGATTTTATCTGTCCTTTAATTATAGTCTTGAAGGTTCAAAGTATATTTTAGATGCTTGATTTGAGCTAATTTGGAGTTGGATGGAAATCACTTGTACTGTCGATTGGTTTGTCTTGCCGATACTTTCATCTGGACTATAAGTTTATTGAAATCAGAGTTAGGCTAATTCTAAATTTAATTTCCAAAGTTATCTAATCAAATATTGATTCGAGGTTCAAGCTGATTTTTTAAAACTTCTTTTAAGATTAGAGTTGATTTGTTTGCTTCTACATCAAAACTATGTTCTAAAAATAATTATTTTTCCTACACTTATTTATGCCCAATATAAATTTTCGCAGTTGAGTGAATTTTAAAAGAATTTGTCTTCTTAAAACCATTGTTGGCGCAATGGAGACATTATTGACAAATGATTGAGCAAATAAATTTAATCATTCCTCTAAACAATATATGTTTTTAACCGTTAAGTAACAAAATGGGGGACTTTTGTGGCAATTTACTACCTCATGTGATTCACGTTCAACCCAATGATCAAATTCCTTTTTCCTGCAACAATCTCAGGGCATCTTTGATCTTCTCTACCACACGGATCAACAACCCCAACAACTCAAACGGTAGTGATTAGGGCGGTGGAGTTGCCTGTTGGCCATCAAGGAATAATTATAATTTTTTTTTTTGGAAGAGAATTAACTCTTAAACTTTCATTTTGAAGGCCAAAGTCAAGGGCGGGACCAGCGTTAATTTACGTGCCGCCGGGGGTGGGTGTTTCCTTGAATTTGTCTCGACCATTCACTACAAAAAAAATGGGTCAATAGAGACCCCCTATTTGTGCTTCGCAGATATATCGGGGGTCCAAAGGGTCAGCGCCCCCTGGCGAGGTTCAACATTATAATAAAGACTAAAAAATAAATGGAGGTGAATAAATTATCTAAAGAATAATATATCTAAGAATTTTTTTACTTTTTTTAGGGCTGGATGCAAGGGTTCTGCCCTTGACCAAAGGTCATACCGTTCCAAATTATGAAATAATAATAATAAATTGTGAAGATATTTTTTATACTTGCTTGAAATTAATTGCAACTAAGAGGGAGGGAAGCTATCTAAATTTTTATAAGGGAAGATTTAAGGGGAGCTTGAGGAGGCATGTATCTCTCGAAAATTTAAATATTTATGTATGTTAATAAGCCCCGCTGTTTGGAACAATTATTAGGTCTGGTGACCGGACATAGCTCTATGTCCGGTCACCACTGAGATCGCGCCACGTGTTACCGTGTGGCCCGATGACTTGACCTGGACCAGAACCCGGGAATGTTATGTTCGCGTATTGCTAGGTATTACTCGGCATTTGCTCAGTTTTGCTCGGTATTGTTAGGTATTGCTTGGCAATAACGAGAAATACCGCTCTGTGAAGACTAATACCGAGCAATACCGAGTTTTTCTAGAAAAAATAGGTATTGCTCGGTATTGCTTGGTATTTGTCTTCACATAATGGTATTTCTCGTTATTACCGAGCAAAATCGACAAATACCTAGCAATACCGGGTTGTCATGGATTTAAAAAATGCACGTGCGATATACCCACTATTCGTCGGGTCGGGTCCGCGGTTTTGTGCCTGCTATGTGGCGCATTCTCAGCGCTTGCCGAACGTAGCTCTACATCCGATCACCGGACCAAATAAAAGTTCCGCTGTTTGAGATAAATAATAAGAAAAATTTTGTCTATGCCTCCCCCAAATAAGAAAATTATTTTAGGTGCACTTGTTAACAAAAATCTATGGTACTACCACTATTAAATGTGATGATCGTTTTCCATGATAAACACTATAAGATAATCCGTTGCTCTTTGTCTAAATTTTTTATATGGGTTTCAACTTGATTAGTTATTGCTAGCATTAGACTTGATATATAATTTTGTTCGAGATTTTACTATCATTAAGATGACAGAGATAAAATGATTGCTCAAAATTTATTTGACTAGAATAAGTTGAATCTTAGTTTGAGCCATAAATTAAAGCAAACAAGGATGGAGATAAGGAGATGGCTTTATAAGATAATATCCCCAATGCACCAATATGAACATCCAAACATCCTCTTAATTAAGATTCCCGTTACCCAAATTACTCCATCATAAGCATATCGGTGGAAAAGTTGTTTCATTCTTTCTTAGAATAAATTTAAGAGAAAAAGTTCCTTATCTTGATTGAGATATATTTCTGCAGTAGGAGACTCAGTATACAAGCTTAATAAAGTCATATTTATCTTGTTTAGGGGTGTTAATTTCGGGTCACGGGTTGGGTTCGGATCGAATCCAGAACTGACCTGGGTTCAAACGTGTTGACCCTAACCCGACCCGGGTAGACAAACGGGTCGGAAATCCGAACCCGGACTCAAATATTGACACCCCTAATCTTGTTTGATAAAAATTATAAGGTTGTTGCCAAAATCATCCATTAGAGTAGTCATGTAGAGCATTCCATAATTTTTAAATATAATTCCTGTGGCTTTGTTATCCTAGTTATTTATAATAATAAAACTCTACTTATAAGATGTGATGAATAAGAGTTGCAAAAATAAAAGACTACTTAAAAAAATGTTTTCTAGTAAATCTATTTAGGTCTTCTTAAATGCTTTATAGGGGTCAATTTACTCATAAGAAACATGATTTCTCTCTATCTCAAATAAAATACTATTGTTCTTTTAAAAAAATTTAGTGTTTTTCTTCTTCTTTTTTTTTGCAAACCTACTGATACTCTTATGCCAGACAAATTTTGGAGATCAAATAATGAAGAAATTATTCTGTGCGGATTTCGGACCGTCCGAAGGCGAATCACAGTGCGCCATGTCACCCGGTACACAGTGGTACCAAGCACCAGTATCCAACAAATAAGTGGCGTGGGACATTATGATTCGCCTCCGGACGACGTCCGGAATCTACACAGAATAATTAAT